TCTGGACACCAGTCACAAACATCACAAACCGTTTATCATTTCAATATTTGCACGTATATTTATTACAAGCTTACACAAGCAGCTCGTTCTGATTTGAGACGCTTTTCAACAAATTTAGCAAGCTTCTTCTTATAAAGTTCTCCAGCCTCACTGTTGAAACAAATTGTATTGTGTTCCAGTTAGGCAAAAGATATTCATAGCAATTCTTGTTCCAAAAAACCAGAGATGACCTTTATAAAAAAATAAGGAAAATACGAAATAATTAAAATATAGGGGAACTAAAATCATCTATCTTTGCATGACAGCAGTTAGAATAAATTTTTCAATTGTCTTGAATCAAAAAGCTGCTTGGATTTTTCTTTCAGTTAAGTGAGTAAAGTGAGACGTACCCATTAGTCCCAAAAAGATATGCCATAGCAAGACAAAAAGAAGCCAAGATACAGGGCCCTTTAATTGAAGCTTTTAAAAAATAATTGTGTAAAATAACTTTTTCTAGAGCTTTTTTCAGAAGCAAATAGCTTTAGACAACAGCATTAAGTTTTCAAAGTTTTTCATTCCGGAAAAGCTTAAATAATTATTATCACATTTTTTCTAAATATTTTTAATTAAAAACATATTTTGTTAGTACTAATACACAAGGCCAAACTGCTTCATTTTTTGCTACTATTCTTTCCAATTGGTCATCTATCTTGTCAGAACATCTTTTCAGCTTCATTCCCTTCCGATAAAAAACATCTCCAATCATTTTAAGTCTATTTTTTGAAGTACTGTCAACTCCACTGTCTTGACATCTCTTATAAACCATAACATAGTTGTTTCTCTCCTACTTATATTTTCCATTACAACCATTGTGCCAACAATCAATGACACCAGGCCTCCCGCTTAGATAAATGTCATGGTGCGACTTCCACACTACTAAAAAGAAGTTACAAAGAACAATCGGTTTCATCTTTAACCCAACCTGACCCACCAGTGGCAAATAAGCTATAATGTATCCTAGTTTTTTGGCTTCTTAGAAAGTCATCAAATGGAAGGAATAGATCAATAATAATTTCTACAATAGAGAGTAGAAAAAAAATATTAGTAAAAGGAACCATAAAGGTTCCTTACATAACTTTGGGTATCTAATGCAATATAGAAAAGAGGGTATTGACAAATAAGACTTTGAATAATTGCGATGTGAAATAAAAAAAAATAAAATTGAACTTATAATCATCTTTAAACTAATATTCTAGATCATGTACAAGTGTAGTACATCTACTACAACAAGAAATCAAAATAAGATTTATCACAATAAGACTGGTAACAGAAAAATAATTTAGATTCTTTGTATTCTAACAGTTCCTCGTGTAAACAGAACAGAAATGCAAATATTTTCATTCGTACACTACCTTTTTCTAAGCTTGTGTCCTCATTAATATAAACATTACACTAATTAGAGATAGAACACAAATATACCTTAATGCAGAGTCTCCTCCAATTCTGCCTCTCACATTAAACCGACTTTCTCCATGCCGGGTAAGTAATATTGGGCGAGGTGTAAGATGTGTATTTACCTGCATGATAAAAACAAATCATTAATAGAAGCTAACAAGTGATTTGCAGAAGCATTTGCTGAAGGCATATATTATTAATGTTCAAGAAAAAACCATTTGCAAAAGGTGATCTATGACATTTCTCAATAGTGTCTTACTGGGTTAAATATTATTAACTGATCATTTCTTTTACTTTTCAGTGTGTTAATGAAGCTTTGACTGTTAATAACTACATTCTTCTAAGAAACTTACCAAGAAAAAGACTATCCGACCAGGTAGGTAGCCACTGATATTGTTCACCTAAACCAGAAGATAGAATTTGTTGATCATTAACAAATTAAAGTGACACTGTAAACCATGTTTGTAAATGGTTATCGTAAAATTCAACGAGATGCACAAATACTTGCAACAAGAAATTCTAGAATATTAGAGCAGCCTCCCAATGGTTTTTTTTTCAAACAGCGAAAGTATTTTACTATATGTCATTAAACATCAGATAATTTAGAAAAGCATAAAGTGAACTCAAGGACAAAGTAGTTATAATCTATTTAAATCTGAAGGTGAAAGTGAAACCATGCCTTTTTCCACACCAAGGTTTTACATCTAGTTAAACTAGTAGAATCTATTTGTTACTAACCCAAACAAAAAGCTACTATATGGATAATAAACATGCATTATGCATATCGATTATCAAACTAGCAATACTAGCAATACTAGCAAACTAGACAACGACATATGTAAAATGGTTCAGTTTTGCTTCATACAATGACATAACTAAATGTAAAACTTACTTGTATTTGCCCTCCATGTCCACTGGCCATGTCAATCATTTTTATGTGAGATCCTTCTTCTACTGTCTCATAAACCTAGTGCATAAAATCAACATTACTTGAAGCAAAAGCTCACCTCGAATAGCCATTAAAATTTAAAGTACCCGTGAAAGACTTGCCTTCTCATAATAGGCTACACGTTCTTTGAAGTCCCGCAACCCAGCCTCAAAATCTGGTCTGCAAAAGGAAAGCTGATTGCGTATGTAACTACAATTCCAAATACTCATTAAGATAAGATGTCACTAATTTTATATGAAACATTACACTTCGGCATAGTCAGGGCTTTGCTGAATTTTAAAGCGTATATTCCTCTCAATTATGTCTACATCATTGCATATTGTTTCCAAAAAAATGATCTGTAACAAAAAATGCAAGGATACATAAGAACAGTTCAAAACTAAATTATTTTCATATTGCACATATGGCAGTACCCATCTACCTTGCATCTACCTTCAGCCAGTTTCATGAGCATGTTTCTTCGCTGCTTGCTACTGTTTGTGGCATCAAATATCCCAACCTAAACCCCAATGAAAGCTTCAGCCAAAAACAAAAATCTTGAAAGAAGGCTTAAAGTAACAAAATCATCTGAAAAGGACAAATTTACCTGGCCCCCTTCTTGCATCCAAGATATCATATCTTCAAATGCCATCTTGGCTACCTAGTGGTAAATGAAATGTTAAAACTATGTACATAGAGAAAGGATGACAAGGAGATAACAATACCAGAATCATCTATGACAAATTGCTAGGTTCTGCATACATATCTCAACATTAGCTATAATAAATACATATTGTATTTAAACAAGGAGTACATGGTGTAGTTGAGGCAAATTTAAAGCATTTACATCTCTCTCTCTCTATTAGAATCAAATATATCAAATACAATTAGATATAATATATTTAATATATGATCAATTATTTTGTTTTCTAGATATAATAGATATTATATATTATTTTTTTAGTAGATTGCTATTATATATAGTCCTCTCTTATATGTAAACATCATCTTGATTCAATGAATTATTTTATTTCTGTCCCCCTTGATATAGCAGTATCAGAAGTGATTTTTCTGTATTCATTCCAATAATTTTTTTGGTTTTATTCCATGGATGTCATCGATGAGAACTCTAATGTCTCCTAGTGGTGTGATTATGTGAAAGGTTATAACAGAATTCAGATTGGAATAATCAGAGAAAAAACAGAATATCAGAGAAGAATTATGCAGATTTTTCTATTCCCCTTTTCTCAAACAAAAGCAGTGCCTTTATAGCACCATACAGTCAACATGTAATGTAAAAAGAATAAAGTTTGTTAGACATGTTTTCTCCTGCCTAACCAATTCCCACAGATACTGCCACGTAATCATTTGGTTACATAATCCTTGAGGTAAATGGGTTTCTTTCTAATTCGTTGGGGTTTTGCATCATTTTCTGCTTTCTCTAGATTTGGCTGTTCAACCATATTGGGCCTGTGAGGAGAAATGGTGGGCCTAACATTATGTCTACTCTAAATGTCAGTCCTTTTACCAATGGTTTAGTTTTTTATAATATTTCTACCAATCCTTTTATTAAAGGTAGATGGATCATGATTCAAGTGTTAGTACTCATGCATGTTCATTCTTGGTAATGTTTTCAATCCTACAAACATGTCATGATATCACTGATAAAACCCTTTCATTACCCAATTAATCTATTATTCATGTAGTAACTATTGGCATTGTTCAACTTTCTCATATATTGGTGCTTTATTATGTTTTTTACGTGTCTCTCAATTCAATTTTAATTTTCTCTCTTTTATCCTTTGTTCACTTGAATGGATTTGAGGGAGAGTGATTGAGTGGATTTGAAAAGATTTGAAGATAATTTTTTTTTTTGTTTATTTGAGTGAATTTGGAGGTAAGTGAAAGTGAATTTGGAAGCAACATTTGTAAGAATTAGTGTAGGATTTGATTGATGTGACAGATTAAAAAAATTTACTTCCAAATCCACCCTCACCTGCCTCCAAATCTACTCAAATAAACAAAAAGAAAAATTATTTTCAAATCCTCTCAAATCCGTTCAATCACTCTCCCTCAAATCTATTCAAGTGAACAGAGCCTTAGTGCTTTGTTGGCTCATACTCATTTGTCCACCTTCCTTAAAAATCACTTTTTTATCTAGGAGATGCTTCACTCCAGGAAGATGAAGATTGTCGGTGGTAATCTTAACTAAAGGAATATACATGTTGTCTCCAATTTTTACATAAAATGATTTAACTATGTTTCCTTTCCTTTAATACCATCACAAATACTGTATTTCTTTTTAAAATACCGATTCCGGTAAGAATGCGTCTATTTGGCATAAATTTGGACGTCTCTAATAAAGTTTTTCTACTTTTGAGTAATGAAATTCTTTTTCATATAACATAATGTTTCTACTCCCAAGTTTTAAATTTGACCTCTTGCTAAGTTTAGAAGATTATCTTTCACTTTACTCAACAAGGTGTTCAACCATTATTTAATATATTACATTGTAACATTTGGGGTCTTATGGTAAACTTATGATGGCAAACATTTTTTCATAAACTTGATTGATGATTATAGTCATTTTACCTAGATATTTTTGCTCACACACAAATCTAAAACTCTACTAATGTTATAAAACATTTTTTTTAAATGGTTAAACCTCAGTTTAGGGCCAAAGTGTTTCAGGTATGACAATGCAAAAGAACTTGCCCTTACTAATTTTCTAGCAAAACAAGGCACTCTACATCAATTTTTTGTGTGGAGAGATCTTAACAAAACTCGATAGTTGAGAGAAAACATCAACATTGTTTTATTTTTTCAATCCAACTTGTCAATCCAATTTTGGGAAGAGTGTGTTTGCACTATTTCCTTTCTAATTAAGAGGGTTCTCTCTCCAGTACTATGACAAAAATCATCTAACTAGGCTCAAACAGATCCAAACTTGATTATCACTCTTTAAATAATTTTGTATGTTTAGCTTATTCAATAACTTTGTGCTCGTCCAAAAACAAATTTACTCTTCACATAATTTCATCCATTTTTGTTGATTATCCTAGAGACAATAAAGGATATAAATTAAACAATATAGAGGCTGAGCAATCTGCTCTTTCATTAAACAATTTTTCCTTTTCACGGAAGTGAATCCTTTTAGCAATTCTTACTCCTTTATTGATGATATGGTAATTCCTTTGTCCATTGCTAATAATATCCCTTAAATACTTCTATTGTTCATTAACCTAATAAGCCACACGGTACAATATAAAACATCAATGTGTAGTACTAATGGACTTGAAGCCTTTGTTTGGAGATCATTCAGAGCGTTAAGAAACCCTCTTATTTGTCTGATTATGTGTGCTCTAGCACCTCACATCCTTATCCATTCAAAACTTTAACTCTTTAGACAAACTAAATCCAAAATGCAAAACCTTTATCAATCAAATTTCACTAGTGGCCAAACTAACTTTTGTAAAGGTCTTACTAGCTCATGTTGCTGCAAAAAATTGGAACCTACTGTAGCTAGATATCAACAATGCATTCTTAAATGGTATGCTATATGAGGAAGCATACATGAATATTGCTCAGGGTTGCAAAACAACAACAAAAGAATTAGTTTCAAGTTAAATAAATCCATAAATGGAATTAGACAAACCTCTAGACAATGGTTCTACAAACTATCCCAAACATTATTGCAACATGGCTTTACACGGCCTAAAAATGATTACTCTATTTGTTCATGATTACTAGGGTCTTCTTGAAAGATTATAAAATTCAAAAAATAACTAGTTCTTGAAAATATTCATTTTCTCACACATACTAGATGAATAGTCACAAAATAATCTATAACAATCAATATTCCTTTGTATGACTCCGTGCATGCATTTTCCACCCTTATAAAAATAACTACCTTTATTGATTTTACGTGTCGTACACATCTTTTTACTATTGTTATGATGCGTAAGAAACTATTCATGTTGTACTCTTGATGAAAAATTACAAGTGCTTCTATTAAATAATTATAACTATAAAAATTAATAAAAATGATTTAATTTTATGATTTTTTTATGCACACTTTTTTGGTAACTTCAATATAAATTTTAGTAATTATTTTTTCATTTTAATAATTAAATTTTTAATTACATTTTTTATTACCATAAAAAAGAAGTGGACACGTAGACCTGTTTTTCCACTAGTACGAATAAAGTGAAATATTTGTGACCAAACAAAAAAATGATAAAATGTAAAAAGTCAATATAAATTAGTAGAATGAAATAAGATTGTGTAAAATCTGGAAGTAACATCTCCAACTAAGAGTCTGCTAGGTAAACATAATTAAACACTTGCTGAAGAGGTATTTATGGAAGTACTTATAAGTTGTTGTCAATGTCCTTTATGCAGTCACAATTTTCTTTTATTAGAAATTCCCTGGACATAAGTCACATTTAATTAGACGTTACAGTTTATTGAAGATATGCTGTAAATATCTGTAGCATCTCCTCTGGTGTAAAGCTTCTGTTGGCTATTTAATTAGAAAGGCCTCAAAGTGGGTAAATCAGCTTTTTCCCACATAGTATTCCTTATTCATATTATGGTTGCTGTGATTTTCTGACAGTTGTTTCTATAATTGAAAAGGAAATAGGGTTAAATTGCTTTGATACAAGTTGAAAGTTTTCATTAGCTACTTTAGAACAGTTAAATATTCTGAAAACAACTTGTGGACTTATCATAAGTTATTTTCATAAGTTCTCCAAAACACTTACATGAATGCTTATACCATAAAACAAGTTTAACGGTAAATAAGCTCTTCCAAATGCACCCTAATTATACACATCTACAACCTTATTATAAACAACCAGTATAAATCACTCTTTCACATTCAAATAAAAAAAAATTGTTGGCCAGAAGTTACCTCATTACGTGCTACCACACCTTCAGGATTGTCAGCTCGAAAGAAATCAGCAGACTGCACAGAAAATATGACGCGGATAGTAAATTTTCCAAGAAAATATGCAGTACCATAACATCATACTTCCAAGGATGAAACTAACATAAAACAGAAAATCGAGCACCCCATAGTGATCATGTGATGTTCACAATTTAAAAGATTATGGCACTGCAATGTACGAGAGATTTGACAATTATTTTTTGGTAATCCCCCAATATTATTCTTTGACCAGAATATAGGCCACTGCTAACCCCTTTCCCATCTTTAACTATTACAGTTCAGTGTGCAGTATTTTTAAGTTTAGCACAAGGAAACAGTAACCCTATGGTTTCTTTGCATTTTCCTAATGAGATTTAGTTTGAAGGGGTATATTGGAATTATAGAAAAAAGTCAAAACTTAATAGCATTAGCTTTCAGTCTGAGTGATTTATCAGTGAATCCCACGAACAAATTGAATTATTGAAAAATTTAAAATCAGGTTCCATTTTCTGCTACTGAAAAGTTAGTGTTGGCAAACATTGCATATGATATCACAGTTGTTTCAGATCAATCACTGATCACCTTACAGAACACTAACGGCCCTAAATAACATGTCTATTCGTACAAAATTAATTTTTAAATTAATATAGAAAATAAAAAAAATCTAAAATGCCCCTACATAAAAGGGCAACTTGTTTGTTTTTCCTTCCGTTAAAAAACCGGAACCTCTAACCATCCTAAAATTTTCTCATCTTCTCTAGTTTCTTCATCAATCTTGGTTAAAAATTTGCCATGTCAATCTTTATCATTGAAGTTACAATTTTGTTTGGAAGCAAGACCTAACTTAGCAGTAATGTTGTGCCTTGGCGATTGATTGGTCTTGGAATTGAATCAAGAAACAACCTCTTTGCATATGCAAGGTTAAGGATGCATAAATTGACCCTCTCCCATACATGAGTAAGGAGCTGTTTCTCACTGGGGTATGTCAGTTTTATTTCTTTTTCTTTTGGGAGGAACCCAACAGCCAAGAAGAGGAGGATGCTTGTGTGGACCTCTCACCCACAATATTCAAACCATCCACCATTCAAGCTGACTTATCCCCTTCCAACTCCCTATTTATTTTCACTTTACATGTTCTATCTAATTCTATTTCTCCCTCATTCACCTCATCACCCTGTTTATTTATAGAGCTGGACTTTTCTAATCTGGACCAATTTAGGCCTCCTATTTCTTCTAATATAAACTTCCATAATGGGAGCCAAAGCGTATGATAAGAACTTGGGCATTATGGGGTACGTAAGTCTCACGAAATACTATGGGATGCTCAGTGAAGCATGTAAGTGTTTGATTCTACCCCCTTAATAGCTATTTTGAGGTTGGCTTCCCCAAGTGCTTGGGTGCTATAAATTGATACCAAAGTTGGTTGTCATTGTCTTTGAAAGGGCGGGCTACCTAAATCAACTATCAGAACCCATGCATGTCAGTCATTAAACTTTAGAAAAATAATAATCTCTAGATAAAAAATCCTTACAAACTGGAATTATTTTCACCTACCAAACCCTCTACAATGCACTAACATGAATCATATAAATTTTTATAACAACCAGTACAATACATCATGTAATAAAAGATACATGTAACAGTAATAACAACAACTACACAAATTTGATTCTTAGTATCACGGGAAATCTTTTGGAAATTTGATAGTCAAAGTTACTCGTGACTTTTGTTTTCTGTTTGAGACACATTATTATCAATTATGCCACAATTCCTGGTGAGACACAGTTTTGTTTCTAATAGTAACAGTGGTATACTATAGCTTGTTGCTAATTTTTTTAATACTGAATTCCTTTCTTCCAAAAAATATATTATACAAGTAGTGACAAATCTTATCTTTTAAGCTGGTTTTGTATGGTTGAATTAGGTCTACACCAATTTGTAAGATAGTATTAGAGTATATGCTAAATTCATTAAAAGGGTTACTCAACATATTATCCATGTCCCAAGCTCAATAGTGCTAAATAAGGGGGTCTGTTGGGAAAAATCCAAAGCCCCGCATGAACTATATACTAAAATAAAAAATAAAAGTGAAGACAATCTTCATCTTACAAGTCAATTTTGTAAGATTGAATTAAATCTAAACTATTTCACATTCAATATAATGTAGATAAACAAGACATGGTAAAGCATAAACTTTTCAATTAATTCTACTGCATTAAGTTTACCTGACTAGAGCCGTGCTTAAGGCGACGATACTGCAGCATTGAAACATAAGTGTGTTAAATTCGCACTCAAAACATGTTTCCTGTATTCCATTAGATACAAGACTATAGATTACTAAGGAGGATGAGTCAAGAATGTGAACAACCTTACCAACATTGAAGTGTTTTGTATTATGACCTAACCATCGAAGATATCTTGTAAGCTTAGCTGCAGTGTAAGTCTTGCCTCGAGCTGGCAAACTCACCTAAGAAAAAGAAGCTAGTAAGAAATTATTCATTTACAAATATTTTAATTTGTAATTAGATGAACAACACATGGGAACACAGCATTTTCTTCCCTAAATACAAACTTCTCAAGATATTATGAAGAAGTTTATCCCAACAAGTTAATAGTCTCATTTTGAATCACACTCAATACCTAAAATAAATTGTTGCTAAAAAGGTTTACGAGCAATTAATACTCAAGCAAGAATTACCATGACAATTGCCAAATGCCTATGCTCCTTGGGACCTAGCATCTGATCAGCAATTGCAGCAGCTGCAACAGCTCCAGCAGCCGCTGGAATTGAATTCTATTATAAAGCCAGGATGGCGAGGGAGCAGAAGCAACTATTTGTTAATAAACTCAGTTGAAAAACTTGATGCAACAAATATTAATCTAGTGAAAAAAAACTAATAGTAAACAAGCAACGGAAATCATTTTTACAAACCTTAGTAACAGGGTCCAAATTAAAATTTGTAGTGAACGCATCAGAACTAGAGGATTTTACAAGTCTGGGAAATCCTACACCCCTGTCAATAAAAACTCCCCTCAGACTACCTTCTTTCTGTGGAGGACAAATTGTTCCCACAGACTGCGATTTAACCATTCCAGGACTTTGGTACACCTTAGACTGATCAGGTGCATGAACCTCTCCCACCTAGTTGAAGCGTCAAGATAGCCTATTAGATGTGATATAATGCATGATCAAGAATCCATATAACCCACTAGCTTCTTTTATATTTTTCTCATAACCTCAAGAAGAGACATTTTGCAGGTTAAACGTCATTTGGTTATATAATGATCTACAATCTGTAACTCATGAAACTAGTAATACAGAAAAATAATTCAGAAAAGATACTAATGAAATTCTAACTATTTGCAACAAATAAACTGGCCCAAAAAAAGGAGATATTTCCTCTAAATTGGAGATACTCTCCATAAGTTTTAAAAAAGCTCTAGTTTTTATTAAAAGAAAACAGATACACACACGCAGAGAAAGAGAAAATAAAGTGAACACATTTCTCTATTAGTACCAATTATCAACATATTAGCCCATCTAATACTTTAGAAGAACATAAGAAGTATCTAAGCTGATATGTTGAACAAAATAATCTACATTCTCAACCAATAAAAGTCATTTAAGGCAACCACAACCAATCCACCACAGCTTCTGATTCTGGAAAAAGACACCAACATTCAACAAAGTTAGGTAAAAAATCTATGGACTGATCTTACATGTTTCTATAACAATCCATTCTAGAAAGTATAATCATGAATTTGAAATGTGAATTTGAAAGCAAAGCCTTTACTGTTTCTGGTTGATTGATCATAGGAACACCGTCATCTCCCATGGAAAATGAAATGCTGGCAGACCCACCACCTAGTGATCTGAGATTCTCTGTACTGTTAGCAGCATATGCAAGTGCTGAACTTGGAGAAGTTGAGGGAGATGGAACAATATAATGCTCAAGATCAAGCTCTAAATTTGCAGATGAGATGTTCTGAATAAAAGATAAAAATTAAGCATAAGGTACATAGTAATTGTTTGAAAAAAGTTCTATCACAAATGTACTAACATAAAGTTGGAATAAGAGAAAAGATGGCAGCTTAAAAAGGGCATCAGTTAAGAGGCATGATCAAACAAGTTATGGTACATTGGTAATGTAAGATAACAATTTTGCACTATCACATTAGAAAAATTCTACAGAACAAATTACCTGTCCATGAAGAGAATTTCAACTAAAATTGGTTGAGATTAAAGGAAAATCTTGAGTCATAAATAATTAGTGTGCTCTCAGCTAAAAAGAGAAATTAATTGATTGTGCAGTAAGTTTGTTACTCTAAAGGAGCCTAGCTCTGGGCACTAAGAATGTTTATCTTGTTGTATTTTCTTTTCTTGCGAATTAACATAATCTTATAGCTGTTTTATCTTCCATTTCCATATTTTTCTGTTTGGTTATTCTGTGGTGTGGAATTTGTATTAACTGGTCTAACCTGCTGAATACCCTCCCCAATCAGTAAATGCCACCAAGAAAGAAAGGAAACAAGGAGAACAACTGATACAGTCACAATGGAGTCGCGAATTGATAACATCGAAGAAGAATTGACAAAGATAAAGGCAATAATGGAGGAGAATCATCTTCAAACTATTCAAAACCAAACTGCAATGTTATCGATGAGGAAGGAAACTGTAGATAATCGGTCAAAACTAATGGAGCTTATGACTCAGTTTTGGCAAAGGTATAAATGGCGTGGGAGAGGGCTGTGTTGGCTCAAAAAACACGGGAAGCACAAAGAATTCTTAAAAGACCATGTATGGGTTGAAATCCTTAAAAGGGGATGAATTAATTTCGTCAGTGAAAAGAATAGAACTCCCAATGTTTAATGGGGAAGACCCTACGAGATGGATATTGAGAGATGAGATCTACTTCAAAGTACAAGAAACCAATGAAGCTGTGACAGTGAACCTCGCTCAGCTATGCATGGAGGGAGGAACTTTACACTTCTTCAATTCCTTACCAAACGATTATCTAACTTGACATGACCGGAACAAAGAATTGTTGGACTGGAATGGTGGAATGGGAGAAGGTAGTGTCTTTGATAACTTACAATCTCATTTATACTACTACAACAAATCAAGCATTTTCCCACTAAATGGGGTTAGCTATCCGGATCAAACAACAATGTGATGCTCAATACTGAACTAAATCTACAAAACTCTAAATCCTTCTTAATGGTTTCACCTATAATTTTTCTTTGTTTCCCTCTTCCTCTGGTGATAAGAACCATAAAGCTTCCCTCGATTATATAATATACTTTCCTTACTAAGGGTTCTTCTGTAAGTCATCTCCACACACAACCAAACCACCTATGATGAGATTCTACCAATTTCTTTCTACTACAGGTGCTACCCCAACTTTCTTTACAATGCTTTCATTGTTAATCCTATATTGTCTAGTATGTCAACACATCTAACCTAACTTTCTCATCTCTATCCCACTGAGTTTATTTTCTCGTTGGCTTCTAATGACCCAAAACTCAGTTCCATATATATGACATCACAAGTCTTATAGCGTTTCTTTAAGCTTGAGTATTGCCTTTTTGTTATAAATAGCATTCACGATACTCCTCCATTTCATTCACCGCTCCACTAGATCTCATTAATGTAAAGAAAAAATAAATTGATTTTTTTTATAAGTTAGCATCTAAATTTCAAAATAAAGATGAAGAAAAAGGTGACACTCTTAAAGACTACCAGATTCTTAATATCACAAACATAAAGAAAACTGATAATTGGAGTCTTACCTCACTGCCTGTCTGATGTTCTGAATTTATGCTGACATCAGGTATCCCGCGTACAGACGATAGACGGAAATTCTCCTGATAAGCCCTCCAACTAGCTGCAAGATCAAAGGGAGAAATCCTTTTTGCTTCCACAAATACTCGATACTCAAGAACTTGATCATTATCAAGTCTAAACAAAGCCATCCTGTCACCATCTTGCCATGCTCCACCGACTAGTACCCTGCTTGAACCCTCCTCAACAAAACAAGGATTATCGATGCAATTGGGCTTCAAAAGGAACTTAAACTCTAAAGCTTCTGAAAATCCCAACAAAACTCAACACTTCAGGTCAGAATGCAGTTCATGCAAAATTTGCATTCTTTTATTCTGTTTCTCAGTTCTACATACAAGTTTACAACTAATTTAAAATGAAAAAGCAAACACCAAGCCGGTGAGAAATCATTACCGTGATTAGGCGGAACGACAAAGCTCAACTCCCACACAGTCGCGGATTCCCGTTCCATAGAAAGCTGAAAGTTTTGCACCAAAAGCAACAACAATAAGAACAGAGAGAGACCCAGAATAAAAGAAATGAAATGATTAAATGGGTGAGTGAAAATTACAGCTTTGGAAGGATCCCAAGAAGGGCCTAAAGGAAAAGAGCCTGATACGTGAGGAAGAAGGTCCCCAGAGAGAGTGAGATTGGGATTCTCCATCTTCACCGAAACATAAAGCAATCCGGGGATTCGTAACGGCGTATGGTTAAAGCCATCTCGCTCTTCTTCGCTATCACCCGCCATTGATTCTTCAGAGTTTTGTGAAAGTTTGTTCGCCGTAGCTGCAGCTAACAAAACAGAATAGATGGTGATGTGTGTGTTAAAAAATCCTTATCCAAGTATTCTGAACAGTGTGACAGGCGGAGAGAGACTTCCAACATTTTGTCAGCAGTCTTGTTACACTAGATTTAGAAAGAACACAAAAATTTATAAAATTGATTATCTTTTTTTTATAAATATATGAGTTTATTTTTTTAATAATTATTTTCCTTTTAAAGGCGAGTTTCAAATTTATATATATATATATATATATATAACAATTAATAAGAAAATTAGCTGTTTTTACATATTTTCTTTTATCAGTTTACCTTTAAAATTGTGATAAATATGTTTTCTTATTATAAATTATACAAAAATTAATAATGGTTATTAATAATAACTTAATTATCTTTATAAGTAATAATGAAAATTAAATGCGGACATGATTTTCTTCTTGTAATCACTTGATTTTTCGGCATGATTAGTTATGATTTAAAACAAAATTGAGAAGTTGTTTCATTCAATTATAAATTCATTTGAATAATTATGCTATAAATTTTGAGATGATATGATGAAGCTTTAGTGGTAAAAAACTCACTTCCTTCTTTCCTTTTTCAAAAGGAGAAAATGAAGACCCAAAATATAACAATAAGATTAGTTTACTTGACTTTTCATATAATTTTTGGTTTTGTTACATCTACCACATCTTGTTTTGTGATATATTTCAAATTATGACGTATCTTTAGTTGGGTGTAAAAAATAAACAAACTTCTCTTACATGCATTTACTCACATAAATATCATATATTTTTAAGAGACCATTGATTAAGTGATATATTTTTATTTAGTCTGATATTTGTTAAACAAATACGAACTAAATTTCTTTACATAAATAAACAATACACTAGGCAAGTAAAATACATGGAGTTATCGGGTTATTACATGTATATGATGAGACATTGTTCCAATAACTCCCACCAGAATCCTCGTTTCTCTCGCCATTGTTATTGCAGAACTGTCATCGGCGACCCATCTCCTATCAACTCGATCATCATGCTTCGCTTTGAAGGGTGGGTCAAGCCACAGACGTGGCTCAGGCTTTGACATTTTTCTATGATGATGGCACTGGTACCGATCTTCGACCACTGCCCCCGACCACTACGCATAGGTGTTTAAAGTTGTTGTAGAGCCTTGCTAATAAACACGTTACGCGATGGTGTGAGAGAGGTAACAATTCCAAACTTACCTTTTCAAAATTCAACTTTACAATTCTGAAATTACCTTTCTGGAATGTATTTTTTAGTACATTTGGAAATGTGCATTTCGGAAGGTAGCTATATATCTGAAAGCACGCATAATCTGGAATGTATCTAAAAAACATTCTGAATTGTATATTTCAGTGAGTATTTCCATGTTAAGAACTTATTTTGAAATGCACAATCCAGTAATTTAAATATACATTTTAAATTGTCCATTTCAAAAGGTGTTTTTAGATGTAGAAATATCTCCCGAAAGACGGTCCTGAAACATAGGGTGTGTTTAACGTGGGAGATGATTTAGGTGGGTAGATGAATTTGAGAAGATTTACAGTGAATTCATTTGGAGAAGATGATTTGGAGAAGATGATTTGGAGGTGAGTGAGTAGATGAATTTGATGATAAATTTTTTATTCTTTATTTAAATGGATTTGAAGGTAATTGGAAATGGATTTGGAAGTAAAATTTGTGAGAATTAATGTAAAATTTTAAAAATTATATTCAATTGTTTTTAGTAAATTAAAATTTGTTTTTAGTAAATTAATTTTTTTTTAGTTAATGTTATATTCAAAATTACATTACTTCTCTACGATGGAAGGTCCCCAAAAGTCAATTGCACCTCCTCATGTTCTCTACCATCTCCCATTTATATTTCTTCTACCCTTTTTCTCACCAATTACCACTACAAAAATTATTAATATTATCGACAGATTTATCGATGGACACATTTTCGTCGGTAAATTTTTATTACCGACGGCATTACCGACGGATTTTGAATTTTATTTACTGACGGCCAAAAGCCTTCGGTAAATCCGTCGATAATGCCAATGTCACTTACCGACAGTTTTACCGAAGGCTTTTGGCCTTCGGTAAAAAAAGCGAGAAATTTCCCGCCCATTATTTCACTTATCGACATTACTTACGGATTTACCAAAGGTCCATGTCCGTTGGTAAAAAGAGCGGGAATTTTCCCGCCCAAATTCTGCCTCCAGTGTCAATATATGTGGCAAAGACGCTCATTTCTCCTCATTTTCTTTACCAACTCAGTTTCACACCACCACTACTCATTTCTCCTTACCGTCTTGTGGCTTCAGCTCTCTACCATTGCGGGTTGCTCTCCACCATCGTAGGATAGTCTCCACCATCACGGGATGCTCTCAACTTTTCCGGCGAGCTCCACTTTTCCGGCAAGCTCAAGTTTTTTGGTGGGCTGTTGTAGAGTTTATTTGTGCGATTAGGAACATCACCAAAGTCCTAAACCGGTCCTAAATTTTTCCGGCAAGCTCAACTCTCTATGATAAAATGACACAACATCACCGGTCCTAAACTTTTCCGGCGAGCTCAACTCTCCATGATTCCCTATGGTTATTCGCGTGATGCCGTTTTGGTGGCGGAGTTCGTGGAAATGAAAAAAAAAATTTTGACACAGCGACAAAGGAAGAGGAAGAAGATGAACCAGGTCGCGACATTTACCGACGGATTTACCGACGGATTTACCGAAGGCCTAGATCCTTCGGTAATTACCGAAGGCTTTACCGACGGCCAAAAGCCTTCGGTAATTATCGACGGACGAAAGATCCGTCGGTAAAATTTACCGACAACGTTTTTACCGACGGTATGTTGGCCGTCGGTAAGCCGCCGGTAAATGCTAATTACCGACGGATTTTATACATTACCGACGAATTATGACCCTCGGTAATCACAATCATTCTTGTAGTGTACTTTCCAACTTTCATTCCCCTCACTCGTATGGATAAATTACCTCAAATCTTATCTAAAGAGAGACAACTTCATCTTCCTTTTTCCCCTCCTTCTTCTTTCCAATCTCTGCCACACTCACATCAAGCACAAACTCTACAGCCGCGGAATCCACCCGCAAACCCATCGATCGATCAATGCCTCCTCCATCCCTCTACAAACTGCAGCGGTTTCGCCTTCTTCCATTGTGGTTGTCCTTGTGGCAACGTCATCGTCCAACAATCCCTCCGCCAACCACAACGGTTTCGCCTCCCTCCACCACTGTTATCTCTGTGGCAACATCATCGTCCAACAACCCTCCGCCAACTGCAGCGGTTTTGCCTCCCTCCATTGTCGCTGTCTCTGTGGTAATGTGATTGTCCAACAACGTAGTGTTTTATTTGGTATGCAATGGAACCAAATACAAAAGGCCGAGAACCGAATACATGCCTCTATTAAATTTGTTCTATGTACTGGAACTGAATATATCAAATATGGAACCGAATATTCGACTCTCATAAGGACAAATATGACATTGCAAATCAAATCCCTTCAAATCTCACAACATTCGCGGGTGACCAAAAAGTGAATCATCTCGCAAATCTCTTCGAATCGTTCTGCGCATTTCTTTTGAAATGAACAAAAAATTCACTTCAAATCATCGCTCGCATTTTTGCGTAAACAGTACATTCACCTTAAGTGAACATAGCCTTAAGGAGATTTGAGGGTAAATTTTTTGTTGTTTATTTGACTGAATTTGAAGGTGAGTGAGAGTTAATTTGGTAGTGAAGTTTATAAAAATTAGAGTAAGATTTGATCAATGTGACAGATAAAAATAAATTGTTTAATTGATAGAAATTGAAGATTACCAAAATACCCTAGTTATAAAAGTATATAAAATGATAATTGTTAATGTTATATTTAATTGTAAAAATATTTATAAAGAGAAATTAAAATTAATTAGTAAAATTAATTTTTAAAATATAAAAAATTATAATTTAGTAAAATAAAAGACTAAAATAAAAAATAATATTTAATTATCTAAAATTAAAATTTTAATTATTAATACTTAGATAAATGTTATAAATTCTATTGTATTATATTGAGATTTACTACTTTTAATTCGGAAAAAAAATTGCCTTGCTGGTTCTATTGAGAAGTCTACATCCATATACATATATTGAAGAAACCTTATTAACAAATGCTTTAACTGTGAAGGTATTTAAGAGTTTAAAGGAAAAATGAATTATGTTTTAATTAATTTACAAAAGAAGGGGATTTAACTATTAGCTAAGTTATCTACTCTGTTTTTGTTTTGATATTTTGCTGTATTATGATTTTGGTTCTGCAGGGTGGTTGGAATCGGATCCACCCTCTCCAAAGCATTTTACAATGGTGAAACTGAATCCAGGACACGAGGGAACCGAATACAAGATCAATTTGAATGTTTCAATGCACTGAAATTAAATACAACAACAATTGGAACCGAATACACCATTAATTTGTATTTTTATTAAGCTTTGTAACTGAATCCATCTAAAGCGGAACCGAATACACCCAACAATTATATTTATTTTATGAGTGGAATCGAATGCTACGTAAGTTGGAACCAAATACACGCATGAATTCTTCATCTTCGCATATTGAACTTTGCTCTCTTCTGCATGTTCTTCATCTTCAACCTCTAATCTTTATTTTCAACATCTATTCTTCTTCATCTCCAACCTACAAAAAGAAGAAAGAACTCACAAAAATATGAGGGTAAAGTCGAGTTTTTACATCAAATCAGCTAAAATCCGAGCAATTGAGTGAGATAAGGAAAAAGCATAAATTCGTCTTCGCTAATCCCTCAAAACGAACAACCATAATCTCGCAAATCCATCCTTCTTAGTCATCTTCAATAATAAATTCTTGTAAAGCAAACATAGCGTTAAAAAGAAATACATTATAGACTCCACGTTTAGAAAAGTATTTTTGAATCCGAAACAATTTTTCATGATACATAATTGAATGTATATTTTGAAAAAGATTCCAAAAGATATTTTCATATTTTGAAATACATTTTAAAAGGCAAATACGTTAAAAAACATCATATATGAGAAATTTGATTTTTACCTTTTATTTATGTTAAGTT